CGCATTCAGTTCTGACTTCGTCGTTTTAGATACACCACTCAATGGTTGAACACTCCCGCCTACCCCGGCAAACTTTGCCTGCAAAGAGATCGAACACTGCAAGTCCTGGCACTGCTCGCCTGTGTTCTGCTTCGCCACACTTGTTGGTGCTCTACCGTCTACCGTGTGCTAGCTCCACCCTTTCCCAGCGAGTGCCAGTTACCACTTTACAGGGAACCAAAAGAAGTTGGTCTTCACAAGCACTGCCTATGTACGAACTATAGTGATGACCAGATTTGATTGGGTTTGCATTTCGCGACTCGCCGGAGAAAACCCTCGTTCGCTGGCAGCCAGGAGTTGAAGAAGGTGACCATCGCTTCTGGGCAGGTGTGCTTCGTGTCACGTCGTGTTGCTTGTTTCGACTGATGTTTGGAGGGCAGAACCTACCTCCAAAACAGAATGACATTGATGCTTCTTCCAGTGGGGGCGTTCTGTGTCTGACCAGCCTCGCAGCAAGTTAGTTGATGGAAGCAGCTCCCACTTGTGCTCCGACACATTCTCTCATGGAGGCATCCCTGAAAGACATCTGCCCCCCTATGACCCTATGACCATGCGTTCGTCCAGCCGGATGGACCCTGGACCGCCCCATGTCCCGCCACAGGAGGGGCCGCAAGACCCCTTTGCGGTGGCCGGGAGCGCAGAGACCGCGAACGGGGTCCAACCGGCAAGCGGTCAAGGGCGACCGTGGCCGTCGACTGTTTGGGGGGTTGAGGCTGCGAAGGCTCAGAAGGCTCAGGGCTTTGACCCGTGACTTGGTGTTACTTGTAGATCCCCACCGCGGCCCCGAAAGAATCCACGTGAAGCCATCCACGTCAAGCCGCACCACCCAAAACATCCCGAACCTCGTTTCCACCGGTCTCGCTGGTTCCGGCTGCCCCCGAGGTCTCGCTCAAGCGGAGCACCGAGGAGCTGCGGCACCTGTCGGAGGAGCTCTCGCAGGCCGACACCGAGGTCATGGCTCGGGACCCAGAGGGCGGTGAAGTGGGGAGAGAGAGAGAGAGAGTTGGAGGACCGAGGGAGTACGAGGGGGTGGGTAGTTTGGAGAAAGAGCCCAAGAAGATTCACAAACGGTGTCTGTGTGGAATGGATGGTGCAGCCCGCCACTGGCACAATTCAAGCTTGTTTCGATATTGACACGCGTGCTGGTCAGCTGAACTCCTACATCCTGCTAGTGGCTGGTGACGAATAGAACAGTAACCCCATGAAGCAAGGTGCTCTCAAACAAAGCATTTGCTTGAGGTTCTAGATTCTAGACTGGACGAGTGTGCTTGAACCTTCAGACAGGTGCAAGAAACTGAGCGTCTTTGAAACCGAGTGAAGCACGCCTCGCAGGTCTTTCTTCTAACTAGTTCGGGTAGGAGTCCTCCCCTAACCTATGAACGTGTTTCACCGGGACCCTTCCACCCCCACTCACTGTGCCCCAGTTGCGCTTCGCAGCACAAACTCCTGGTACATCAGAGGATCCCTGTGGAGAGATGAACCGTGCCTGGTCGATTCGCCAAGTGCCAATGAACCGCTGGAAGCTTGGCTTCGGCAGCTGAGCGCACATGCTCGCCGAGGCCGTGTTGCAAGACAACTTGCAGGAGGAGAGCTGTTCGACCAGTCACGCGAGTCACCTGGCCCGAGCGCGATGGGATGTCGCTTTAGAGGTTGAAGACAACGCATATCATGGAATACTGATCTTTGTTGAGTCTACGTCCGCCGTGATGGCCGAGTAGGGCCATGCCATGCCGGCCCTCCCCTCTTAAGGATGTGAAGGTCAGTAGTCTAAGTGGCTCTTCACGAAGCTGTTGTTTACGTCAAAGTTTTCCACAACTTCCAAACTGACTCATTCTACACCACCTCGCAGTCACAACCCTCTCTGGGTTTTGTTGGATGGAGAACCCTTGGGTTCCACATGAAGAAGCCGATCACACCCACAACTGCACACCAGCAACTTGAGGCTTGAGACCTCTGATAAAAATCTGTGATGGCAGACAACCCTTAGAAGAAGAAGAACCCCCAGCCCATAAACAATCCATGCATCCCCCTGCCTTCTGGGAAAACCACGTGCATCACCACGGACGCCATGCCGGTCGTGCGCCGGTCGGAGCTGGTCGAGAGGAACCCTCGACGGCCGAGCTGGTCAAGGATGCCGAGGACTTGCTGCAGGAGGGCGCCTCCCACGAGGTGCCCGGGCGTCGGTCGTCCGACCGTGGAGCTGGAGGTCGTCCGAGTCGAGAAACAAAGACCCAATTGGCGGAGTGCCATTGGTACCCGAAGCAGCCCGAAGCTAGGGTTATGGAGGACACATGGAGGGTGGAAAACTGGCAGGGCACCGGGTCAGAGAGCCACCAATGCTCGAAGGGCTCGAAGGGCCCGTGGCCCCGCAGGCTGAAGCGCGCGATGGTGCGAGCCCTGGGCGGAAGGGCTTCGGGCGTTCGGCTTCGGGCGAGTTCCGGGCTCCAGCGGTGTGAGACCTTCCGCCCCCATTGGGTACGGTATACGTGTCCCTTCAGACATGGGTCAAACCAGGGTAAAACCACTGAATCACCCATGGGTGAACCACATTTGGACCCCTCGGGCACGGCTCCCGACTCCGCTGCTTTACGGCATTCCAGGAGACATAATGTCGGGGTGTTTGGTCCCTAAGTTAGTGGACAATGGGCACCCCGACTACCTCCATGGATCGCACCCCTAACCTGACTGCTGGTTTCAATTTTTTGGGGGGTGACATCCGGAACTGTTTTTGGTTTGGGGTGAGTTTCCAGGTGTGGGTCAATGGCAATTCTTGTTGCTCCAGGCGTTGGTTTTCTTTTGGGCAGGCCTGTGCCGAGCCTGCTATTCTGACAATTCTGTTCCTTTACTCTTCAGGGGTCGATTCCTTTGGGTTGCCTAGCTGGCCGGGCTCCCTGGGTTGCCCAACTCACGCCTGGTGGTGGTGCACCTCGGTCCCTGGCATCGAGTTCGGGTCGTGGAAACCGGTTCATCCTGGACCGGTTGCGCTGGTCCTCGCAGCTGAGACCAAGCTTTCGTAGATGCTGATGGGATCAGTGAGCAGATCACCTTCACTTGACAGGGGCATGAAAATCAGGATTTTGATTACTGGAAAAAAGTGTGGTTGGGCGGGTGCCACCTCAATTTCCATACAGTTTCATACATTTTCTCCGTTTTTCCAAGCCTGAATTTCTTCCTTTTCCAATTCCCCAGTGTCAATCGTTGCAAGTTGGAGTTTCTGGGAGGTTCACTCAACTCAATTCCTCCACGGCCCGTCCCAACTCTTTCTCCGGGGCTTCGATTTTTGACCCCGCCTTTGCAGATTGAAAGCAGCCGAATTTCACGTTCAGCAACTAAGCCCCATGGAACTTAGCCTTCCTGAGGGGGCTCCATGATTAGTTACATCCAATTCATGTAATCATGTTATGTATGTATATAATATATATATATATGGATAGTTGTTCACTGACAAGGGGCTCCATCTCTTCCGTGAGCTTCATCTCCTAGCGCCTTCCTTACTTACAAGTTGACTGAAATTGACCGCTGGGTCCGCTAAAACTTTGACCTCTTGCTCTCTCCCTGCCATGATGGTAGCGCCGGTGCTTTCTCCGCGGCGTTTTCTTTTCGCGGTGATCTCAGTGCTGACCGATGGTGTGGATGGGATGGGATGACGGCACCATGAGTAGGGTGTGCCCCCTTACCAGTAACATTTTAGGGGAAAGGCTTTTTAGTAGCCAACATCGAATGGGAATATACCCAAACCATGAGAGTCTCCTTGGTCTGGATGGGACAAGGAACAAGCGACGTAGGAGGGGGGGCAAGTTTCTGGGAGGAGTTGTGTATCAAGACGGTGAAGGGGAGGAGTGCTCCATGTTTGAGGAATTGAGACTTTTTGATTCAACCCCCCCCCCGACATGAATGGTAGAAGCTCTTCAGGCGCTGGGGGGTTTCTGTGGATCGAGAGTCTGGACGCGATTTGGGTAGGGACACGTTGGAACGTTTGCCCTACTGAGGTAGAGGTGCCTTAGAGGTTTGTCTGACTTGGTCTCAGACGTTAGACAGTGCTCGCGGCCAACCTTGAGAGCCACAACAAGCTAAGGTAGTTAGACACATTTGGTCATGTCTTTCGCCTCCAGGTTCTACAGAACAACCATATTGCATTAGAATCGGGAGTATACCCAAACACTCTCCGACAGAGATAGCTGCTAAGCGACACGGCATCCCTTTCGACGTAGCTTTGGTCATTTTTGTGGAGACACGGTTGGAGACAAAACGACACGGCATTTACTACAATCTACACAAAACACGGGCTCAAAGCAAGAGGTTGATGGATACCCAGAATCCAGGTTCTTGCCATTTAGACAATTCATCTTCCAGCATGGCTGTTTGGTCCAACGGCTGACCTAAGCAGAAACAGGCACGGACCTTCTCAGCTGTTGAAGCTGCTGTGGCTCGATTTTGTGCCTTTTTGGATATGGCAACACTTGGAACAGGAGCCAGGAACAGCCCCCCTTTTCGTTTCAGTGGTCCTTTAGCACGCTGTGAAGATGAACCCCTCGCATCAAATAGCCATCACCATGTACGGGAACCACTGCCAAGTGCCCTCGCATTAACCTTCCAGGCAGGCACGTGTGCAGGGGAGTTGGTTGATAGCCAGCAGGAAAGTCAAAGAAGCAGGTGCAACCCTAGTCACTAGTCCAAACACTGTCCAGTTCAACGGGCGCCCGGCCATGCGCATATAGCGGATAGATTCATCATCCCAATCAAAACATCACCCGAAGGCGTTGGCCAGCCACGATGGTGACAGTGACAGTGACAGGACATGTTCGGGGTAGGTTTACATACACCAGGCCCCAGGAACCAGTGCTTTCAGGAGTCCGGTCGGCGGTTGAAATGGTCGCCATGGAGTGATACGGCAAGGAATGGTCTTTACTTCTAAAGTCAAACTGACCTTCTAGGCTTTGGATTTGGGTTCCGTCTCCGCGATGGGGATGGAGCCCGAAATGGACGATGAATCCTGCTATGCCATCCTGGGCGTGGACCCCTCTGCCAGCACCTCGCAGATCCGCCAGGTGCGCGAGAACCTCGCGCGTACGCGGCAAGAGGTTTTGTTTTTTTTTTTTGCAACGCCCTCTAAAGCGGAAGGTTTGGACAGTACTGCAAAGGATCATTCAAGGCAACGCCTTTCTTCATGAGCTCTGTGGCTTCCTGCCAATTCACAAACAACACCAATGGCCGACCTGGCACATATGATGAAGAATGCTGGGACACACATGCGCGTGCACAACAATATTCTCTTGGGATGTGTGTGTTTCCAACCTGTCCCATGGTGCACCCGTCCAAAAAATACAAAAACACTCTGGTGGACTCCGGGTCAATATTGAACAGATTCTTCGTATATATATATATAAATATACCAGCACCTTCCACCAGGTCACCACCTGCGACTTTTAGGTCAGTAAAAGCCTCCAGGTCGGAGACGGGTAATAAGTCCGGGTGCTGGTAGATATTTATAAACATTCCAGCAGTCACAAGACGGGGTGCTATCCATGGAGGTTAGGGTTAGGGGTACCCCTATCACATCCACTCACTAAGCACCACCCCCACTTGTGACTCCTGGTGGCATCTCCAGCCCTGCCCATGCTTTGTTTATTCCGTTTCCACCGGGTTGACACCGTTTTGCGGATCGCTCCCATCCATCCTTTTCGAGGCCTACCGGAAGCTGGCGCTGGCGAAGCACCCGGACCGCGGCGGTGACCCGGAGGACTTCGCGCGGGTCAGCAAGGCCTACGAGGCTGGCTTCAGCGCGAGACGCGCGACGCGAGACGCGCGACGCCGTGTGTGGGGGGTGGTCGCCGTGGGCTGTGGGCGACCCAAAGAGCCGTGGGTGGTCGTTCTGTGGGGGGAGGCTGCGGAGACCCAAGGAGGGGTTGGACCAAGAAGGGGCCCGAAAAGGCACGGGTTGGGCTCTGGCATTTGCCCCTTTTATCACCTGTTTTCTATTGGGAAGAGTAGAGGGGTCGGTGCCAGGTACGATTGACCGAACTTGGTTGCACACGACCGGAGGCATCCTCTCTATGAAACAACCAAGTAATATTAGTACGTATAGTAAAAAGCCATCAATGTGTGGGCTGGTGTGGGGGTTCCGGGGGTCTTAAGAAGATGAGCGGTCGCTCGAAGGAGCACCAAAAAATAAGTGCTTGGAAGTGCTGTTGGAAAGGTATCCTGAAAGTGGTGCTCTGTCATGATCCTCTGCTCACGGCGAAAAGGCGGCCGTTCAGGGGTCGGTGGCGTCGCGCAGGTGCTGAGCGACTCGAAGGCCCGGGCGAAGTACGACGCCACGGGGCGCACGTCGAAGCTCAGCGCGGAGGAGGAATTCATCGAGGCGGGGGTGCGGGGGCCTGGGCAGGGCTGGGCAGGGCTGGGCGGAGGGGTGTTCAGGACGAGTCAACACACAGATCTTGTTGAGAGTCACCGTGCCAGGCCTTCCGGAGTTCCGCGGCTGCCCACGAAGAGAAGCCGGTTCGGCGCGAGGAACCTCCTCCGCCCGTCTTCCGCGAGGCGCGGGAGGAGGCGCCGCCCAAGCGCTTTGCATGGGAGCGGAGCGAACGACAAGAGGTCCGGCCAGGGCAGAGGCGAGTGGATGTGGATGTGGCCGGAGGACGTGGCGGAATGTGACTGGTTGGAGGGGCAGGGGCTGCTGGAAGCCGGTGGTCCTTTAGAGACATGGGACGTGGGACGATTTCGGGCTGATGTGGGGCCCCGCGACGACGTCGATGCCCCGCGACGGTCAACATGGTTCTGGACTCGACGTCCAGGAGTCGCATGGAGGGCCTGGGTGGTGTGGCTCGTCCCATCCAGTGGCCGTGGATGTGACTACCTCCATGGATAGCACCCCGTCGAACGTGACTGCTGGTTGCTTCTTTTCTCTTTTTTCATTTCCTTTTCCTTTTCCTTTCTTTCTTCCCTGATTCTTTCCCCGGTCCTTTGGCGCCAAGACTAACGTTTAGGAACGCGCTGTGAATGTTTCTTCCAAAGAGCCAACAGAGGTTGAAGACCCCCTAGAAACAATCCATAAATACACCGGTAGGGTCCTATAAGGTCACTTACAGGTAACCGCAACCTCCCCGCCAAGAAACGCGCGGAACACCACCGTGGGGAACACCTGGCGAGATGGGCGGCTCGTGATGGCTTGGGGAGGGGGCGGCTCGTCCCATGTGTCCAAAAACCTTGAGAAGCCTGAAACCTTGAGAAACCTTTAATTAGTGGTGCATATGGATAGTAGGCTCTTGCGCTGGAAAAAGCTCTGCAGGTTCATGGAATCCGAGTAGCCAGTTAAACGCTCCTTGTCTTGAGGAATTCATGCTCTTCCAGCGGAACTGTTGCACTTCCATGATGGCGCTGAGTCCTTGAGGTTCCGTTTCTGAAAAGAAAGGGGGGTCTACTGCGCTGGTGAGTGGCTGGGTGTTGGTGACTCTTCCGCCTTTCGGCCGCTGGGGGGCGGTGGAGGCCTGAGACCCGGCGCGTCAGGCGGAGCGGCGGGGTGCACAGCTTCTCTGCGAACGTGGGGACGCCGGGCGCGGCGGCGAGGCCCGCGCCGCTGGCGCCGTGCTTTGGGCCTACCTGGACGGGGGGGGGCAAGTGGGGGAGTGGTTCTTTGTTCTTCTTTTCAATGGTAGGTTGGAGTATAGTTAGGTTTTTAAAGTGTGGGATAGGGTTCCGAGCAGTTAGGGCGCAGCAGAGAGACCATCAGGTCAGGTGCGGACCATGAGCGGACCGTTATCGGGGTCCGTATACCTTCTTGAAGGCACAAAAACATGAGGAAGTGGAACAAAGGCTTTTGGAAGACGTCCATCTTTTGCAAACACATGTGTTTCTCCACTTGAATGTTTTGTTTGTTGGGAGGGGTTTTCCATAAAAATGGTTTGGCGAGACAAGGTCGACCCTTTCACGCAGGATCTCTGAGATCCCGGATCGTAGCTGCGGGCGCAGGGGAGGGGATTCTTGCCATGCTGACCATCCGTGAACACATGGACATCATGTGATGACATGTGAACATCCTCAGCCACTCAGTGGTGACCCCCCCCCCAAACAAAAGGAAAACAAACAAGTCTATACGGGGTGCCCCACCCTCATTCTCCCAGGCCGCACACCGCGCCCCCCCGCGCCCGGTGCTGGCGCCGGGCTGGGTGGCTTGCGGCCGCAGCAGCGGCTCGAGGCGGCCGCAGCGGAGGCCGACGCGGCGGCTGGTGGCTGGGCGGTGGGGCAGCGTGTGCGGATCGCCGGGCTTCAGCAGCAGCAGCACTTGAACGGCGGGGTAAGTGTGGGGAGTGTGGGTGGGGAGTTGGGTACTGTTGGAGAGTGTGAGGTGACAGGATGGAGTGAGAGGACTCTAAGATCCCAAGGTGGTAAATGACCTTGTGCTGGAGCTTGAGGCACGGCAGTCTTGCTGTCTCGGACTATATAGGTCACGTGACAGCTGCGGTCTGGAGAAGTGATTGAAGGATTATTGGATTCAAATGAGAGCTTGCCTGTGGAAGCCGCAGAACTCGAACCGAGTTAGCCTGGAAGAATACTAAGAGGTCCTGCAACCTACAACATCCTTAGATGACTGGCACTGCATGCACATCTGCATGTAGCCCGCCCCTCGGGATTTGTGAAATCTTCTGTCTTCGCGCCGGGGTGCAGCACTAAGCCACTAAGCGTGAGGATGCACCTGCTGAAAGACTCTCCTTGAGACCACCTTGCTAGGTGTACCACCAACATCCACCAACCACAGGGAGTAATACTATAAAGCGTCACACTAAGTCGCAAGGCCTCCAAGAGCAGCTGAAGTACAGCACTTCAAGCTTCACCGCGTTGTCCGCTGCACGCCCCCATAAAGCATCCGAGGGCCATGGCATGAAACCAGAGTTGACCTTGGATTCACGGAACAGATGGACTTCAATCTGCAAAAAGTGCGCGGCCCATTGGATGCACCAAGAAGTGGTCCCCAAATGCATAGTGGCACGGTGTCCACCTTTTGAAAGGGGTTTTGCTTTTCTATCAGAATGGGGGTGTAGGTTTCTTGTTGGGGTTGCATGGGAGACTCCTCACACCAGGCGTGATGGGCGTGCTGGTCAAGTTCCATGGGGATCGTTGGCAGGCGCGGGAACGGGGCGCGGTCCACGAGATTCATTGGACCTACGCACCCGAAGGGCCCACAGAAACGAGGCGTTTTGGACGCTCGGAGGATCTGCTTTGGCACAGAAACGGTGCGTGAGGGAGGCGACTTCCCCCCCCCAGCAGCTCAGGTTTTTTTGGGGAGCCACCGAGCCACCGGCGTTTTTGGGGCTTAAATAGCTGCCCGCTTAGGCTCCCTCTTCCCACCGCCTTCTATAGACGGCCCACACCCAAGCTTGACGAACAGGAGGCCTTTGTCTGGGTGGGACGTCAGAGCCAGGTGCGCTTGGAGGGCGATCTGGGAGAGAAACTCTTCAAGGCCAAGAACCTCACGGCGGCCGCCGGTGCCGCGGTGGGTGTTTAGGGGTCTATTCTCCAGGCGGCGCGCCGTGAGGGGCGGTGGTGAGGGGCGAGGAGCATAGTATGTAGCTTCGAATTGCGCGCAGTTGCTGCATGTGCGGGGTGTGAGCCGGGCTCTTTGCAGCATGGATCTCATCGGATCACATCAGTTTGCTCTTGCAACCAGAATGGTGGCTCTACGATCACACCTTTGTGAGCGCCGAGGTTCTTGACGCCTGTAAAACTCTACGGGATCTGAACGGTTGGGGCTGGCCCATGAAGCGCTAAGGCCAACCCCGCCCGGCCGCTCCCTACCCCTCGCGCGGGTCGGCCGCGCCGGCGGACGCGCCCGCG